GTGTGGGTGTGGGTGTGGGAGTGGGTGTGGGTGTGGGTTTTATAATCTTTTCTCCAACTATATCATCTTCGACGCTCACACCCACACTCTATTAATAACGATTATCTTGCCGATCGACAGTTAATATTGGAAAGCAAATATTTCAGGAGAGCAAATGTCCATGGGGAGCAAATGTCGTTGGGGAGCAAATGTCCGTGGGGAGCAAATGTTCGGGGAGCAAATGTCACGGGAGCAAATGTCCGGGGAGCAATTGTCGTTGGGGAGCAAATGTCCATGGGGAGCAAATGTCGCGAGAGCAAATGTCCGGGGAGCAATTGTCGCGGGAGCAAATGTCTCGGGAGCATCTTTCATGGATTCATGTAATAGATCGAATAAATATCGAAAAATAATAAAACCAATTAAACATGGTAAACTAAAAAGAAATATGGCTAATGTCGAATTACCATAACATGAAACAGGTTGAATCATTGATACAATACATGCTAAAATCAATGAAAATACAACGCCAATAATCATTGATAGAATATTAGAAATCGAATATATAATGATAGAAAGAATACGAATAGTCAATGGATTTTTAAATCGAAAATAAATACAATGAAAATCATTACATGAGAAATTTTGTTGTCGACGATATATATGATCGAATATAATTCGAATTATACCAATAATAATAATGAATACAATTAAAATCTTCTGAATTAATACTGATGTTGATAGTTTATATATCATCAAATATCGACCAAGAATATCAAAATAAATTAAAGGATCTGTATCGTTCATGTTGTTCAACTGTTGGTTATTTTCAAGAAGTATATTACGAATTAATATAGCAAGAGTATCACCAAGATCTTGAATAATACCTTGTTTACATGTTGATATGTGATCCGATGATGTATGATATGTGTAACCATCAGGAAGAAAACCAAAATCGTATCCGAATCGAGAATTGTTCAATATGAAAACATCATAATCACTACTGAATGGAATCCATTTTGGAATTTTCTGTAGGATTACATTCGTACGTAGTCTTGCCACTTGACTATAATCAATGATAAGCTACAAAAACAATTCATACAACGTTAATCAGACTGGAAAGAAAATACCTGTGATGATGTTGTTTGTAATAGATCAGCTACGTCATTGCAACTGATTGAATCAATGCTAAAAAAATGGCGAATATTAAAACGCCAACGATGATCAGTAATAAATGCTAGTGCACCTTGTAGTTCTGACTCTTCGGCATTTGTAAATAGTATAACCAAATGAACATTAGAAAAATTTATTGTTAAATCATTAATTAAATTCGATAAAAGTTCAAGTATAATAACAAGACCCGAACCATCATCACCAGCTCCAGGACTAAATTCCACTATTAAAACAGAAAAAAAGAGTTTTACATTAAATGATTCAATTTCTAAACATACGTACCTGAATCGTAATGAGCAGTTAGCATTACACTCGGTATATTTCGAGATTTATTAAGTGTATTTAATATACGAACAAAAATATTTTGTAATTGATTGTGTTGAGAATCAGTAAAATTTTGAAGATTAAGTTCACATTGAATATGTCTTTTATTTGGTGAGCAAATACGTTTTATTTGTAAAATAAGATAATCCCGTGCATCAAAATTTCCACGTGTATTACTTACTCTTGATCCGTATTGAGTTAAATAATTAAATAATCAAGAGCACGTTCTTCACTAAATACATGACGTGCACTTGTTCGTGTTTTTACTGTTGGTACAGAATAGGATAGATGATGTGTAAATGGACCAGCAAGAAGTAAAAGACAAATTAATAAAATAAACCATAGAATAAATTCTTTCAGATGTTGATTATTATGGAATTTTCGATGAATTTGATTCGTATTCGAAACTTGGGGTATGAAAACAGTTTCTTCACCTATTTCATTCATTGATAATTGTTATTTATGATGTATACGAAATATTTTTTCTGCTATGTGAAGAAAAAGATAAGAAGTAACAAAAAAACTCGGAAGAACAGTAAGAAAAAGTATAAAGTATGAGATATAATTTTATATCCGATATGATACGACATTGTTTTTGAGTATTGCGTATGAGATAACGTGGGATGAAGTTATTATCCTCTGGAATTTTCATCTTTTTTTTTTCAAAGAAATATAATCAAGAGACGTGATCTATCTTTCACGTTCGCTTTATTCCTTTGATATTTTTTCTATAGAAGATGATAACAATAATAAAAGTACACTAATATTTGTTGTATTGGCTGTCAATGCCCTTTTTATTTCCTAGATTCTCCACCTCTTTATAGTTGCGTTTTTATAAGGAACCAAAAACTAAAATCATCCGTTGTGAGTTCAGCGACTAAGTCATCGTTACATTTTCTTCTCGTGGAATGATTTATGTCTTTATTAAAATCAGATAGATGCTTGCAATTGCATGGCTTATTTCTCACTTTTAAATACAATATTAATAGCACATGATCAATATGTAAGAATTGAAGTATTATTCTTTTTAGTTATTTTATCCTAATAAATATCAATGCTTGAACAACAATTTAATATATGACACAATAAAAATAGTGTGGGTGGGTTTGGGTGTAATGTTTGTCCATCTATACTCGCACACCCACACCCACACTTTCATGAACGAGTAAAAGATATCATTTATATATACACATTAGTCATGATAATTCACCGTAAGAGATATATAATAGAATCTCATCAACAAAAAAATTCGCTGAAAAATGTTTTCGCGGAACGGACACCATATCTCGAAATTGCATCGAGAATGAGTAAAACGTGTTTTTTTCAATGCTTCTACTGCGCAAAACACTTGATGTTTTTTTCATTCTGGATTATGTGCAGTGGAGCACGTTGTTGTTTACACTTTTTCTTACCTACCACCATACACAGTATTGAAAATAAAAAGTATTTCACAGGCTTCCATCTACGTGCATCGCCACTATTTTATTTTTTGGACATTTTCATCAGGGAAGATTGAAGTAATGAGTTCATCTTTAGAACTTTTGCGTGAGAAAGGCAGTACACTGCCGGCTAATGAGATGGATACATGTCTAAATGATATTATGCACGATTTGATAGTAATGAAAGGTGCAACCGATCAGCAAGCATTCGTTGAGTTGGTGATGACTATTCTTCGAGTGCTCACATCAGTTGAGCCTACGGCCTATAACTGTAATCATCCACTGATCGTCAATGGTTTGCGCAATATTTTTCTGGATTTGCTTAAGCAAGATATCAACGAAACTATCGAGCTTGCACTTACAGAGTTCAGTCTCTTCTTTCAGCAACGTCTTGCACCAACCTTAACAACAAAGAACAACACCACACAAATGCTGATTGATGGACTGGTAATGTTTTTCGCCAAAAAAGTTGTCGCCATGGGTTTCGGTTTGTATGAATTTATTGGGAAACCATCTATCATCGAAAATCCACTCTATCATTCACTGGATACTCTTTTGCGTACTTTGGAGAC